GCATGAATTACAGTAGATGACGAAACTTGTCGCTGAAAAATACATTGTGAGAGCAAATTGTAACTACTTTTCAAGGCTAGACATGGTTGAATTAACAATTGGGAAACCTATCGAAAAGGTAAAACGAGAATTTGTTGAATGTTCAGTCCAGTTGATTTTTATGTCAATGTACATTGTTTTATACCATTTATGTTTTTAAGACTAATTGAAGTAAATAAAATGTGAGTTTCTAGACTTTGGCTGGTCAGTTCCATATGTAGGCCCAAGCAGGTCTTAGTCTTAAAGAAAGAAAAGAAAAACAAAATAAAGCATAATTGCATGCAGATTTTTTTCTAGTTCTTTTTTTTTCTGTGCAAATGTACTGATTGATGGAGTGGGCAAGTTCTGACTTTCTTGTACCATCTACCTTTCAAATAGATAAATGATCGATAGATAGATGAGATAGAGATAGATAGAGATAACATAAAAACTTTTAGAATTGCAAAAGTTAGTAGCTATCTGAACTTGTCCCTGAAGTTAGACTTGAATTATTCTTTTGGTTCTCAATCACTACTTTAGTCTACTTCTTTATAGGTTTCTTGAAATTATTTTACTTTCAGCTTTGCATTTTTACCTCAGTGGCTTTCTATTGCTTTTTAAGTTTGTCATAACAATTTTATTTCATATTAGAATATCTCCCTAAAGAACAAACCTTTTGTTCCCTTGACATGAGGTTGGGTCTTGGTTCTACTATTTATGAATGTAGGCAGGTTGGTTAATTTTCCATGAAGTAGAGAACGGGAGTAAATGGCTGCTCTACTTTAGTAAAATTATGCTCAGAAAATCACTGGGGAGACTTACAGAATTGGTAGGTGTTCTTTTTAATGGTAGCATTTTAAAGTAGGATACAAGAAATTACATTTGATTACCTAACAGATGTCATAGCTGTCAGGCACTCCACATAAATATACGCGTATGTATTCATCTTTATGTTAGTTATCATGATCTTTATTTCAGAAATGAGTAAAATGGGTTTCAGTTATTAACTGACATGTGCAGTGTTCAGCTCAATTAAATGGTGACACGTGCATTTGAATTCATCTCTAATTCTGAAACTTAGCCCATTTCTGCTATTACATACTGTCAAATATTTCGTAAAGTATTTGCTGCCTGATAGATTTCTATTATGTTGTGTGCCCTGAGATGCAGATTGCAAGTTGTTTTGAGAAACTTTTGGAGAGCCCCTTAACCCATAGTGGTTTGAATTTGGGGATTACAGCAGGCCACAGAAGCTTTCTTATATGCTAAATGAGAAAGCTGTAAGAAATGATTTATGAAATTTTGCTAAATTGTAGAATTTTGATAAGAGAAAAATAAAGCACATGCAATGTACACATTGGAGTTCTCCCTCTTTCCTTCTCTATTCCCTTCCCTCCTCTCTTCTCTTCCTCCTTCCTTCCTTCCTTCCTTCCTTCCTTCCCTTCCCTTCCCTTCCCTTCCCTTCCCTTCCCTTCCCCCACAGATATGCAACTAAGCACTGTTTTCGGTTTCAAGAGAGACACTTGCTACCTGAATTCTTTACTTAATTTTTCAAAATATGTGGAGTATATATTTAAGAGCCCAGTGGGCTAAAACTTCTGAGAGGAACGAATATGTTTCCAGTTTAACATTCTCCTTGTTCTCGGGAACTTGCTTTTAAACATATTACAAAATTCGGTATATAGTTTGAATTTAAATTTTTAAAAAAGAAAATGCAAATATAAAGAACTAAGGAAGAAATAACACTTTTAGAAAGATATGATAGTTGCGAATACTATTATAACAGTGCTGGTGACTCTGAAATTTTAGTTCCTGTGTCTCCTTTTCCCCCTCCATATAAGCAGTAAATACTTAGAACTAGTTATGTGTCACTTTTACATGGGTTTTTTAGTATAGAACCAAATTCTATCCAGGCAAAAGAAAACTAAATAGACATTCCTCCATTATTGCATATTTGACATAATAAGACAAAACAAGCCTCCTGAATGCTTCATCTTCTTTGAAAAACAATACCTTGCAGCGCATTAAACCCAGGAAAAACAACATTAAAGCCAGTATTTTCCAATACGTAAAAATCCTGAGCCTCTGCTGGTTGACAAACTAAAACCCTAACTTGTTTTGCAGCCTTTGTGGGGTTTGATTAGAACGATCAGATGGTGTGGGTTTTACAGAACAACTGGAAACCTCCCAGATTGACACCACACAGCACAGCTAATGTGTTTCTTCTAGATGTAGCCTCAGAAGAGGGTTTCAGTTTACATGTAACTCTGGCCTGCATGACCAAGGAGCAAGTTTGCTTTTGACAAGTCTGAGTGATAGTCATGATATTGTGCCCCTTAGTTAATGGTACGAATTGTGTTTCTCAGTAGGCTTTTTGTAAATGAGATGCTCATTTAAAAGTCATCTTACTTGCAGGTCTTTCTTTCTCTTTGAGAGATTTGTTTTCTCTGACTTTGAAATATGGAGAAACCCTTAAAAAAAAAAAAAAACAAAAAAAAACCTCTCTTCGATAGATTTCAGATACACCCAGATCACGTCGTGGTCCTGAAACATAACAACTGTACAGAACAGCCTGATGGGACGCCCTTAACTTTAAGGTCAACTGCCACTTACCCCAACCCCACCTACTATTCCCATTTCCGTTCCCGTTAGGAAGGATTTCTACCTTCTGTGTTTGTGTGACTTTCTCTTGGGCAAACCATGCAGTCTTCCAGTGATTCCCAAGGATCAAATCAGAGCTTGTGTTTCTGTTGGAGAATTTTGTACTCTCGTAGCTCAAAGGGCTTTTGAAAAACTTTCTTCTATAGGTGATGGATGTAATGGAATATTTGCTGTGACTCAACCTTCTGTGAGAGTGGACTAACCTAAAGGAGAACTTTCCTCTGAGGGCTCCATCTTGTGAGGAGTGAAGGAATATTTATGAGCTGCTCACGGATGGCAGGCACTTCCAGATACCTTCACGTCTCCTTATAGGAGGCGATGTCTCCATTTTAGAGATGAAATCAAATCAGGCTTTCAGGGACTTGCCCAAAGTCATAAAGCTAAAATGGCAGAGCAGGAACTTGAAATAAATTTTCTAAAGTAGAATCTGTTCCTCTCAGGGGACCTCCCTCCCTCCATGAGAAAAACGTTCTCAAAGGCGGTGTGGCTTACTGAACGCTCCTGACTTTCACTTAATTTAATTCACGCTCACTGTGACTGAAGGTGAGGTGATGCCACAAACCTTGACAATAAATTATTCCTTCGTGGAGCCGTTCAAAAGTAATAAGCAACAATTCGGAGACCCCAAGCTGAACAGGGCTCCCTAAGGCTCCCAGATTTCCTTCAGTTCTGGAAAACAAGGCAATACAATGGCAGTTTGTTTCCAGATATTTTCTCTGTGTTGTGTACTTGTGTGCTAAGGGGAGATGGTACTGCTGAGCGTTTAGGGGCACGCAGTGTGTGAAGTCAGCAAGAACTGGGTTCAGGCTTCAGGTCTGCCACTTACTGGCTGAGCCTTGGACGAGTTACTCACCTAACCTAAGACTTAATTGCGCATTTACAAAGAATAAGAGAGATAGTAATACCCACTTCATCAGGCTGCTGAAAGGGTGAAAGTAACACGTGTGACCGATTTAACCCAGTGCCTGGGTTATTTTAAATGCTCCATAAGTGTAAGCTAACATTTCAGTCACAGAGTTGGGGTAATTCATGGGCCTGCTATGTAGTAAAGCCAGACATCCATCTGTCTATCTGCGTGTCTATCTGTCATTTATGTACATGTGCTTTTATTGGATTTAAGAGAGAGGAAAGTTTCATTTAGTAATATAGACTCATAATTTATATCTCATTTTAGTATAACTAAATATAGTTATAATCACTGGCTGTTAATCTAGATAACAAAAGTAAAATGCAAAACAAGTTATCCTGGCTCAGATTACTTATATTTTTGAGTTAAGATAGCCTTGGGATGATTCTTACACCCAGAACAGCTTGTGCTGTTTTCTTTATTCTGAAAAGCATAAACACATGTTTTCAGAGAAGGTAGATTTGAAGCAGCGTGTGTGTGTGTGTGTGTGTGTGTGTGTGTGTGTGTGTGTGTGTGGATGTGTGGGTGTACTGATATGCTTGGAATTGGAGTGGAGTGACAGAAATAGGGAAAAGGCTAGTTGCTTTATAAATAATGTTAAAGTCTGATTCAGAAAGAGATAAAAGCAATTGATGCCAGAAAAATCTGTGAAGTAAAGCAATTCGACAAGTGATCTAGATAGTAGAGTACATTTACATCATGTTGAGTGTGACACTAATTAATCATTATTTTTGTTGAGTGATTATTAATTAATCATTATTTTTAGGCAGCCATAGTTTTGATCTCAGGGACAAATGTTGATGATTTCTCTCAGTCTTTTTTTTTCCTCTGCTTAAGTGAACTGATTGATAGGTGATTGCTTTTGGCAAGAAACAGGAAATTAACCGTGTAGAAGTGGGCAGGTATTTATTTTAAATTAGAATGCTTCTGTATTGTTTTTCACATTTAGACTTGCGTTTCACTAGCAGTATAGGTAGAAATGCTTTGTAAATTTAAATCACTACATCTGTAGTAATTTTTACAACTTTAGCTGTGAAATGGAAAGAAAATTGCAATCGTTTACTCATTTTCTAAAACTTTAATTTATGTAGTTATGGAATGTGAGACTATGTCTTTGATTGTGAACAGAAAGAAAAGAAAACCAATTTTACAAAAGCATGTTCATGTGTTTCAGAATAGATCACTCCAGGGGGTCTTTTTTTTGAGGGTTTGGATAGATGCCTCTTTATCTCATGCAATGAAAAGTGAAGAAGTTCACTAAAAAAATGCGGAAGGTGGAGAAAAAGGTTGTTAAAAGCATCTAGATACCTGCTGTACAATCCAGAACATTCTCACTTGAAACATAGCCATGGGCGCAGCGCTTATAAATAATGTCAGGTGGGAAGCTATATAACTTCCTTCTCTCATTTTTCAGAAAGCAGAAGCCACTGGAGAGAAACGGCCAAGAGGCAGACCTAGGAAATGGGTGAGTGGAAGTCATAATTTCTGTTCTTTTAGTAAAGAAAAAAATCTGTTTTCTGAAAAATAAAACTGTGAAAACTATCATTTTATTTCATGGATTACCTAAGTTATTAACTTCCGCTTTGATGAATCTCTGAAATGGTTAAGAAATAAGTGAGGGGTTAATACTGCTTCCCACTAGGCTCCAGGGTCTCCTCTGAGCACTGCCTTCCTGAAGGCCGCTCCTTTTTCTACCTGTCACTAACATCAAAGGGATCTCACTCAACAGTGAGAGCATCTGTTCTACGGGTTGAGTAACCAGGATTAAGGGTATTGTGAAATCTTGGAGGTTGGTTGCAAATGGCAATAAAACTCAGATGAAATAACTTTTTAACATCTCCTTCCTTCCTTCGTTCGTTCCTTCCTTCCTTCCTTCTTTCCTTTCTTTCTTCCTTTCCTGTCTTCCTTTCTTCTTTTTTTAATTTTCTTTCACTCTGGCTTCCTCCATGGCAGTGTTTTGGACACGTGATTTTATAGGCGGTGTGTTTTCTCTCAGACACTGGCTTTGTTCGGAAACAGGGTTTTAATTTCCAGTTTTCGTTGCCTTTCATCCTCATCATGTGCTGCACACTGACCGCAGAGATGGCTCCAAGTGCACGTGACCTCACGGGCATACAGATGTTCAGACACTCGGTGCTTGCTGAGGAGCTTTGCTCATCGTACCACTTGGGTGCTGCTCCCTTGGTCACCACGTTACCCATGTCTTCCCGGTGTCTTTCCCCTCACAGAGAGGAAAGGCTTGAAATGGAGTACAACCAAAGCAGGAAGGGCAAAGGCATCCTCTGTACCTGGTGTTGTATACGATGAATTCTTTGATTTTTCCTTTTCCTTCCTCCCTGGTTTGTTCTTCATGCTCCACTTACTTTTTTTAGCTTCTTTCCTGCTCTCCTGGATTATATTTTCCTGTTAGTTTCCCATCCCTTTCTCTTTTGAATGCTGCATCACATTCTATTTATACTTTGGTATTGACTTTCATTTAACTTATTCATCTTGTATTATTTTCTCTGCTGCACATGTGTTGGGATTAAATTTCTTAGCGCAAGGAAATGGGAAAAATTTTAAGATTAAAAACATCTCAGTGTTACAGTGTAATCTTAAAATAAAAGCATTGCATTCAGCCTTGTGTTGAGGAAATAAATTCTCTGCAGACCTACCCATTACATGGTGACCACCCAGCTCACTTTAAGCGTTAGAGAACTCACTATCCCTTAAACCTGCCTCTTCCTTCCTGGGAAGCTCAGAACATTAGGAAATCTTCCATCTGGGGCCCTGTAACTTTTTCCCACTGTCTGTGGCTTCCCTTCCAGGCGTAACATAGTAAATGTTTTCACTTTCACTCGTGGTAGCCTTTCAAATATTTGAGGACAATTAATACAAACTCTTTAGTCTTTTTTCTGGGTTGATTGTCTCCAGCCCTTTCACTTTTTTTCCCTCATGAAGGAATATTCTTGTTACCCTTTTGTAAGCACGTTTGTTTTTTAATCTTTTGAAATATGTCACCAAGAACTGTCATATTCCAGGTATGGGTTGTTCTGCTGTACATGCGTTTCTAGTTAGTTATTGCTGTTTAATCACCTACCCAAAAATTCAGTAGTGTTAACAAACAACTATTTTGTTGGCTTCTGAAGACTTGGGGTCAAGAATATGGACAAAGGACAACAGGAAGGCTCGTGTCTGCCCTGGCATGGCTGGGCCCTCAGCTGGTAGGACTCAAATATCTGGGGTTGACTGTCATACATGGGGTTTAGAATTTGGAGGCCTCTTCACTTACAGGTCTGGTCCTTTGTGTGGCTGGAAGTCTGAGCGTGCTGGGGAGAGTCCCCTCACTGTACATCCATGGTGTCTCTAGCTTGCCCATTCGGGGTAGTCGGCCGTCTGATCTGCGCTCAGAGCTCCCAGAGGGTGTTCCGGTAACCCAGGAGAAACTGCAAGGCCTCCTTTGGCTTCGTCTACGAAGTCGAAAGGTGCTGTTTCCATCATTCTCCAGGGACCACACTGTTGACCCTTAAAAGTGAGAAACATCAGATGCAGGTCACTGTTTTCTAAGCATCAGAACTCTGAAAACACTTTCTGTCCCACTGAACTAATCAGTAAGAAAAGCACTGTGTCATCTAATAAGCCGTATCATAAACAATAGACAATACATGGGGTGTTTGGAGTCATAGGATTAATGTAGGTAAGATGAAATAAAATGAAGTGTAAGCGAATACAGTGAAAGTTAACCAGCCGGATATTCCCATCAAGTGGAATTTCGTAACCCTCCATTTCTCCTACCTGTGGGCTACCTTCTGATGTTCTCCAGCTAACCTTCCTAGGTTCTAATCGTGTCACTGCTCTTCTCAGAAACCTTCTATGGCTCCACAGCTGGCCAGGGAATTAATTACCATCTGCTCTTACTACTTCGAAGTCCTCCGGTTTATGCCCAATTCTTTTTACGGCTTTATTTCCACCACTCATCCTCACACGGCTGCTGCTTCTCCCATGCTGGAATAAAATACACAGCAAAATTAAAGGGCCTGTCTGATTTTTTTCTTCACGGCATTCTTGCTTATTTTGGAGGAACTTGGATTTCAGACATCTGATCTTCATGCTATGTAAAAAGCCCATGTGAGGTGTCTACAGCAGAGACCCTTGCCTTTCTGAGAAGACCCGGCCCACCCTCACTGACTCCCCTCCTTTCTGATTTTTACTAGCTCTGGAGAATGGAAAGTTTTGTGTGGTGAATTGTTACAAGGCTCTGATTTGGTCCCCAAAGAAGAGTTGTTCTACTTAGAAGAGGAAATAAAAGGAAATTGTATATTTTCTCTAGACAACGTGTTTCCTCTTCGTTGTATATCTTCTGATGGTAGAATATGCAGCCGGTCACAGTGAGGCATTCTATTCAATGGCATTCTTTGCTGGAAAGCTTGCACTGGAGAAATAAATCATTGCATTTTTCCGTAGGAAATGAACTTTTATTTTATAGTAAGTTCAGTTCTTTCCAATAGTGTCATTCACTAATTTCCTTGAATTGGAGATATACTTTTGAACTGACTGGATTTACTAGGTATATGGTTCAAAAGCAAATTGTTCCCCTTTTATTCTTATGCTTGTTTTGTTTTAAAGTTCTTTTGTTTTTAAAAATTATATGCAATAAATCTTCCAGATTCATGTAACAGACATGGAAAAACACACACTGTAACCCTCTCATCTGATATAATTGGGATCAGTATTTGAGCGTTTAATCAAAAGTTGATTCACCAGAAATATGTAGGTGTAGGAGAGAAACTTGGATCTGATCTGCTTCTGGAGGGAATGGAGCACTGGCTAACCCAGTGAACCACTGGGCATGTTGACTAGGTTTAGTTAAGAGCACTTCTGCATTTGACTTTATTTCCTTTTCTTTTTCTTCCCCGTTTGAATGAGAGTTCACACCCTTTCCTTTGATGAGATAGTGTGGATTTTCACTTTGGCATGTGCATGCGAGAGGTGAGAAGGAAAGGAAGGAGAGAGGAATGGGGGTACATGTTTCACTTTGGCGTCAGCTAGACCCTATTTTTGCTTATATTTAGGAGTTCAGGATCTAGGTGCAGATAGCTGTGGTTCAAGTTCTCACCCACTGCTTGGTTAACTATGGACTCTTGAGCAAATCAGGTGATCTTCTAAAAGTCCAGTTTCTCATCGGTAAAAAGTACAGTTTCCATAGAGTTCTTGTGAGGCTTAAATAAGAGAAAGCATGCGAAAAGCTTGATAGCAGCTCCAGCCTACACTGTCATGAACAACCGCCTGGAGTTACAGAGGGAGTGAAATGACAGTTACACACCAAACCAACCAAGTTTCCTTGGTGGTAGCGTTATGTCCATTACGGTGTCAATAGTATCAAGTTTAGGAATTGCTTATGACTGTGATCATACCACCCTGAATGTACCCGATCTCCTCTGATCTCATAAGAATTGCTTTTAGATGATATTGAAGTACATTTATGCTAATTTGCATAAGGGGAAATTTCACTTTGCAGGTTAGAAGCGTTTCTTCTAATAGAGATTCGAAAAGTAGCCTTTCTGCTGTTTGTCAGTATGTACGTGGAGACCGTAGGCTGGCTCTCAGAACTTCTGTAGAATTTCATCAGTCAGTACTTCTGCCAGTTGCACTTATGTAATATTTGCATTTCATGGTTTCTGACTAGGAAATAAGCTCATCACAAAACTACTTTAGTGATAGAAAATATTTGGAGCCAAGTATGGTGGTGCACACCTATAATCTTAACTACTTGGGAGACTAAAGCAAGTGTACCAAAAAAAAAACAATTTAAGTCCAGCCTGGCAATTTAGTGAAACTTCATCACAAAATGAAAAATAAAAAGAGCTAGAGCTGTAGCTCAGTGGCAGAGTGCTAACAAGGGTTGTATGAGTTCTTAGTTTCAATCTTTAACATTGGAAAAAACTTCTTTAAAGTTTTAGAAAGCAGAACCAAACCTCAAGAATAGAAGATGTATTCTTCACTCCTGGAGTATCTATCCAGATGTTCCTTAATGAAGCTACTGCTGCTTCTGGAAGAAAAGGAGCAAGGCTCAGATAACATAGGGGAAGTCACTAAAGCTGAGTGTGGTGGTGCACATTTGCAATCCCAGCAGTTAGGGAAGCTGAGGCGAGAGGATCACAAATTTGAGCCTATTTTGGGGAATTTGTGGCTTAGTGAGACCCTGTCTCAAAATAAAAATATAAAATAAAAAGAGTTTGGGAATGCAGTTCAGTGCAGAGGCTTAGGTTCAACACCCAGTACCACAAAAAACAAAATAAAAGTAAGAGTGAGTGGTAATTTGTAGGTGTTTTATCTTCCAACTGGTTATATGGGGAAGGGAAATAAACAACAGAAAGAAAATAGATATGAGGATTCTAGATAAATAATAAGGCCTTTTTGTTCTCCCTACTTTATAGTATTCTGGAAATTTAAGTGATGATTTGAGTATTAAATCATCAGAAGAAC